TAAAAAAAAAATGCATGGCTATGAGTGAAAACTTATAGTACTCCGATTCTATGATTCTCAACGACAGTTCAATATTGTTTTGTTGCCATTGCGCAGATATTATATGATAAAAAAGCTACGAAACAATAACATACCGAACTGTCATTAAGAGCTTCAGAATCGGAGTACAGGATTAATATGTTTAAATATATTTCTTCTACATCTGTTACTGCATTACAAAAATTGCATTGCGTGAAATTAATCAGAATTTTCGAAGTTTATAAGAGTTTTACCAAAACGATATATCTGTAAAATCATACTGAACGAAGAATAAACCGAGAAAAATACCGTTAAGGATGTTGCGCAGTATTATGCCAACTTCGACGACCATAGATCGTCGTTGAAGAGCGATCATTAAAGATGTTTTAACGAGGAGTCGCGCAGACGGGACAATAGCGGCAGGAATCAGGAGGGTCGCCATCTCTTTCCCTTCTCCACATCTCTATTGGATGTATGCGAGAATTCTGTCCCGACACTCCCGGCTCTCCATCTGCGTGGGTCTCGCTCGGTACATTCGTCGCAGACTCTGGAAGGGAGACATTAAACTCTTTGCCGCGTGATTTAGTTGACAAAGTAGCATAGTTACAGTCGTACGCAGAGACGAGACCGGCTCTAGCCTGAGCCTGCAATGCCGTCTTCGTGGCATCCTGCAAACACTACCGTGACAAACACGGTTGAGAAACACGACCCCGCAGGCTATTTTAAACTAAAAAAAGTCATTGTTTAAGCGTCTTTCGGAATCCGATATCCGTATTAGTGTTTAGTCTGGCGTCACGTTTCACCGGGTAGCGGACACGCCATACCGGCTCGTACTGCACGTGCCATTTTCTCGATTTTACTCCTCACATCTCTTTTGTCCGCGACCTGTCTTCGTCGTGTACCACCACCACGTCGACAATTTTACAATCAGGCATTAATTAAACACTCTTGTGATTGGCACTCTTCGTTGGATGGAAATATTCGCTGTTACTCGCTCCTTTGAAACATCAATCTTCTTCGCTTATAACTCATAAAATATTAGCGGTTTGACGTTTTTACCCGTAATTGATTTGAAATCTATTGTAGAAGCTGTCATTAAATTAAAAACGATAGAACGCGAACCATATAAGAAACCATATAAAATATCATCAAAAAATTTATTAATGTAATATGGCAGAAATTCTTGAATCATCACTACGTGAATCTTTCACGAATAATCTTTCATGAATCAACATTTTCGAAGTAAAAAAAAAACCTGTAAGTAGGTGCTTTTCATTTAGTGATACAAACATCGTTTTATCTTCCTTGATATTGTAGAGGTAAGGACAAAGATAGAATGATATTTGTGTTGATTTGTATCATCAAATGGAAAGGCACTCAGTGTCTCGTAGTTTAGTTTAGTGCGAAGATAATAAGTAGTGAGATCGTGCCAGATCAGCGTAGTCTACTTCGCAGTCCCTAACTCCGTAGATCACGACAATGGCGTATTGTCTCTCCCTCTTGCTCGTTATCATCCATGCCTATTATCCGATTCTATTTTCCAATCTATCCTCGTACGAGGCGCACCTTGTCTCGTCCAGGCTTGCGCTAGTCTTCTTCTCCAAGTGAATGCAGAGCGATGCGCTCTTTGTCTCGCGGCACTTCAAATAGGCGGCACTCGAGACTCGGCACAAAGAGCAGCAAACCCGTACTGTGGTGATAACAGAGAGAGCAAGAAAGCTCAAGATAAGACCGAGGACCCTTATAGTCGCGCCGTTCTACGTCGGTTCATTCCCAAGGGAATATGCACACATGGTATGTTGTCGATATCTCGTGTGTGTTCACTTAAACGAATTACAAAATTATCATAGCATCATAGCGAGATTTTTTTTTTATCATTCTAATATTACATAAAGCTTTCAGAGAATTTTATCCATTCTTCGACATTATCATCGTCATTCCTGCCAAATACTAATAGATTAATTTCTAAAAATTTTCGAAAGAGAGACAAGCACAAAATATTTCCAAGAAATAATTGCAAGTATGAATGAAATAAAAAAAATATTAATATATATATTTTTATCGAGCAATTATTTGACTCTTCTTTTCAACATCCGCAGCTCGCAAAACTCGTCCTTTCTATCGCGATGCACGCGATACTCGTGGATGCGCTCGGTGAAGCCGCGGAGTGCATACGCTGCGCGCACATACACGCACACTGATGCACACAGCATCGTGCGCTCGTAGCGAGCTGCGAGCAGGAAGGACAGAGAGGGAGAGTCGTTCAAACGAGGGGCCCGCAGCGCCTGGGTTCTGGGCCTCGTCCGTGTTTTTGCCCCCCGTCTGGCCCCCACCGCGGCTCATCGTTTTTTGTCTGGTGCACCGCATGCTCTGCACAGTTCACCTCGCCTTCTCCTCACCTCGGTCGACGTACCACCTCCTCCATCGTACCCTTCTCTCTCTGTCAATCTCACGTCGTGTCCGCTCGTATTCTCGCTCACAATCAGGGCCGGTGTGAGTAGACACTCTCATGATGCTTCGTTTGCAAAGCGTCGATGCTGAATATTTTCGATATTACGATATCTTATCTTCGGTATAGCAAACGCACGAAATATTTCTTTTATAGAATATAAATTGCAAATATGTTCACGTACTCTCTAAATCATTGAAGTGAAATTTGACTCTAAAGAATGAAATCTCCTTAAAAATTGAACCTCTTTTTTTAACACTTGCTCAATTGTCATTCTTTGTCACTCTTTAGAATTAGAAATTTAAAATTTTTCGCTTCAAAAATTTTAAAGAATATATTTTCATATAATTTGTAATCCGATTTCTGTTCACAAGAAGAATCGAATTTTTATATTACAATTGAGATACAGGTGTTTAAATTTTATCTAGAAAAAAGAATATGAAAGAAATTTATAAATTATTTCTATTTTTCCAGTTTAAGTTCATATATAATTTTCTCTAAAGTCAGCAAATTTTCTCTTCCTATCGAATCTAATATAAATTTGAGGAATATCGAAACCATTTTCAAAAATGCAATCGGAGCTAGAATTAAACAAATATATATTTTTAATCACTTTTTATCTTGGAATTGCACGATTTGTAATGAAAACTTTCGGTATTGCTACCAGAATAATTTGACAATGACACCAATCATCGCGCATAAGTGAATGAAAAATATTTTGTCTAATTTTTCAAAATCTCTGATCTCAAAATTAAATGGCCGATTTGGCGAACGTTCGTGCCGCCCCTGTTCTCAATCTCATCGTCATCGGTCCTTCGCCGCGCCGCATCCGGGCGATATCTTCCCGAGACACGCGCACGGACACGCGTGTCCCTGCCGAGCGGTAAAGAAGGAGAACAAGGAAGCGATGGAGGCCGTCGAACGAAGTTGGAGACCCAAGCTGTTCCGCAGTCGCTAGCGAGAGATGATTGTCGGGGTAGAAGTACGCGAGGGGAGAGAGGGAGGGGGGGGGGGGGAAGATGCGGTCGTTCGATCTCGGTGCACCTGCCGGCGTTGACGTTCGCGTCTTCGCGATGCTCAAAAGGGATCTCAGGCTCGCGATGGAAATCCTTTTCACAAGTCTACCAATCTTGTGTAATTTTTCATTATTTCTTACACCCACCGATTTTTATTAACTTTAATAGCATGTTATGTTTAAATTTTAATAGCATGTGTAAAAATTGTACATTTTAGATAAAGTACATTATCATTATCTTTTGTAACGATCGAATTAATTGTTGAACCATATTGGCTTTCGTTTTGAGAAACTTTTAATATTGAAATGAGTTAAATATTGAAAGATTAAAAAAATTGTTTGCCACTAAAATTATTTTTATTTCAAGAATAGAAGTTTAGTAATAGGTGAATTAATTAATTTTATTAATATCGTTAAATATATGTGACTTGTTAAAATATGTGTTTATAAAGTTCTTAAAAGAAATTGTCGGATAATACCAGAGGAAAACAAAATCCTGTTACTTTTATTTAATATCTCCCCCCATTCGGAGTACAATTCAAATAAATATATCGTGTAATTAAATATTAATTATTGATCAATTAGTATCTCTAGTAATAGATAAATTTACTATCGTATGTTGTAACATATATCATGTATTTCACGGTTTACTAATTGCGTTCTAATGAAATAATATAATGAAATAATATACATGATTTTTGCACGATGTTCTTCGTATATAATTTGCGAAGTGCATTTTTACTAACACGATTACACTCTCGAGTCCTTGACACTACAAGATTGCGGAAAATGACATCTAATCATTTCCACGTGTCAATGATTTGTGTGCCGACTCGACAAACTGCACGCAGGGTATTACTTGCGTTTAAGTTCTAACAAGATAGTCTTGACACTATGCATGATTCAAGGAGACAGATGACGTCTTTATGTTTTTATATAGTTCATTTCTATAAGTTAAAAACTCATCTTTTTTATTTGCCATTTAACGTATCCGATTCTCACTTTTCTTGTGTTGCACAATGCACTATTAATTACTTTATTATTGCATTGTTAGAGATGCATGTACATAATTAAAATACGTCGCAGAGATTAAACGAAAAGGATGAACTGATATTCTAAATTAATGAAATATTAATTAAAATATATAATATACAAGATATATATATTCTTTAATACATATTATATATTTTAATTAATTTAAAACTTTATTTATTTATATAGTATATTTAACTATTTAAAAAATTTTCATGAAATATGATGCTGAAAAAATGTAAATTTTCCAGAGAGATCATATGTCTTTGAACGTCGATAATAATTCATCAATATTTTTTCACATCCTTTAAATATTCATTTTCGCATTAACGATAGCATTATCTTTTGCTTCGCTGTCACTTAAAAAAAATCGCGACAGTTGCAACACGTATAACAGATAAATGCAAAAGTTACGATGATTTACATACGACGAAGTTTCCGATCTAGAATTGTTGACCAATCGCGGTATCCGATTTCCGGTTGCAGTGGGTGCGAGCGGCTACATCGTCTCGGCGGCGCTCGTGCTGATAGTCGGAGCACTGGTGGGTGTCCTGGCGACGATATCGCGTCATCTTCATCATCGTCGGCTGTTGGTGCATGAGCCGGTTCCTCCCGGCTCTGCTTCCTCCGTTTCTGCCTCCATTCTCCATCACCATCATCGGCATCATCATCATCGTCACCGTCATCGTCGTGAGGAGCCACCGCCGCCGCCGTTACAACGTTGTCTTCTATTACAAGATCATTATCGTTATCCTGATACACCCGTGAGTACCATCTGATCATTGAGAACACATGAAACTTTTAGAAATTACGTTTTTACGAAGAATATAGAAAAACTCGATTTCAGTATCGAGTATACATCGTGACATTGGTATGGTTAAAGAGACGATGAAAATGATACAATTAAAAAACATTTATTTCTATTCGTGCGCGATGTTGAAATATCTAACATTAAGGAATTTATTAAGATAAATTTATTATGATAACCAAGAGAATTAGCAAAATATATTGCGTTACTAATGAATTTATATGCGAATTATCGCATATATCTCGAAGCTGTTGGAAATAAAATCGAAGCATACTTCCGCATATTTGTTGAAACTGTATACGTCGTACTAATTTTAGCAGACTTGACCGAGTTCGTCGAAGCTTCTTTACAAATAACGGCTCGACAACGAGTCGCGACAAACGTCGTATCGCACTCTCCCCGGAACAATTCTCTCTTTCTCATTCATTTTCTGTCGCATTTCTCTCTGAACAATCACTGGTCTCATTACACATTCCTGATATCACGCGTCACGAACCAAAAAGACGCACGCGTTATCGTCAGCGCTTTTTTTTCCCTTCTCATCAGGCAATAGACAGTTACGCGGAGGTCAGAATGGAAGGGGGAGGTAAGGAAGCGCGATTTCCTATCCAGCGGAGGTGGTTATCGACATTGTCGACCTTCAGCGAGATTATTACATGATTCGTGGAATGTCGAAGGCTATCTAAGAACAAGTTTTTAATATCTAATCTCAGTAGCCGGCCGGCCACATCACAGCGCGGCACAGCTGCATCTATTCGATGCGTGCTTTTTTTTTCTTGTTTCTAGAAAAATGGACCAGCTCATGGCCATACATAATTTCTCGTTCGTCCACTTTTTCTTCTATTTCTATGCTTTGATTCAATTATTTCAAACGCGCGATAACGTGCGACAACGAAGTGAATCTAGGACGAGCATGATTCACAAGATTCCACCTGCAGCCGTAATTGATAGTATTATAGTTTTTCGTTGCGAGTTTTCATAAAGACCTTGAAGCGTTGCTATATTGCATAGGGTAAATTCTTTACACGACAACTTAATACGATATAATTTGTTAATAACATTTAATTCACTCTCTTATTTAAAATATTAATTCTAAAGAACCGTTTTTAATCGTAAAAACTCGATGAAATAATTTATTATACCCTATAAATTGAACACTATAATAATGGTTACGAGAAAAATATTTAAAAATATGTTTCTGAAACAAATGTTTATATCTCGATTTATTCAATCCCATTTAACGTTTTGAGATATCTACTACATATCGATAAAGATTTTAACCCTTAATACATTTCCTTAGGGAATAGTCATTTGAAATGTCCTCTTTTTATATTCCAGCGGTGAAAAAAATGTGAATTGGTATATAATATTGTTTTATAGGAATGTTATTTAACATTCTTTTTTTTAATAATTATTTTTTATGAATCTTTAAATGTGCGATTCCATTGAAAATTCACAATAAAGAAAAAGCGTTACATTAATAAAAATATTTACTTTTTAGAAACTATCATAAATAATTTATTTAATGTGTTTACTTTTAATATTTCTTTGATTTCTGCTTATTTTTTTCAGAAAATTGTAATTAAACATGTTTTCAAATATTAATAAATCGAAAAACAATAATACACAATATGTTGTTAATAATAATGATTTTAATTGAGATGTACAAACATGCCAGGTGATTGTAAAAAAAGATCAAAACTATTCTCCGGTTAATGACCACTTTTTCTTTCATGAATGTATCTGAATATCCTCTAAATAATTTTCCTACGGATAAGTGTAATTTGCATAAGTAGCGTAACGCGTCAGTACATTTCACTTGACGACGTATCGTTCCGATGGCGAGAGATACTGAATCTCAGCATCGATCGGTGGCGGAGCCTCGAGGGTACGAGGACGTCGACAGTGCGTCCACCGCGCGCTTCGGTTTCCATCGGCATCGGGCGATGGGGAACTTAATTTGGAAGTTACCGGTCCCGTGATTACGTCGAGGAGAGTCGGCGGAAGTTTCATCCTCCTTCTCGTCGGCGAGACGTTGCGATGCGTTTCGTACAACCGTCACGCCTGCCTCCTTTCCGCCGCCGCCACGATGCGGACCATTGTTATTCTAGATTGCATCGCAAATTAGATTATGGTATACTACGGGTCCGCCCTTATTCCCGCGCGCGCCGACGCCGACGCCGACGCCGACGACGACGACGACGACGACGCTGCTCTACGCTCTTTGGCGGAGGCCGAGAAGATGCGGCTTCCTTTGCTCCTCTCGGTTGCGTATCTTCCTGTCCTTATCTCGCTCCCGATCCGCACCAGATTGCGGCACACACGAATTGCCGCCGTCTCCTTCGCGCGCATACAGATGCTCCGAGCGACGACGCGACTTAGGAATGCTATGACTGCAATGTCGAAAATTTACCCAAAGAGATCCTTTCTTTCTTATATCTTCTCTCTTGGCGAAACTTTGGCTGTTGAAAATTTTAAACTGGATAATTTACAGAAATTTTGCTCTCTAAATCTGAATCAGTGAATATACTTGCTGATTTTCCAGTGGCATACTTGACAGTAGATAATCGGTGAAATTCAATTGAAAAAGAAAGAATGTTTGAATTATGTAATTGAAATACCGATATTTGCACATCAGTTTCAATATCATATACATTTAATTTATATACTAAAACAAGGTTAACTAGGTTAGGGATTCCACGTTTCATTGATTTTCTAATTGAATTTCATTGTAAATTTGCTGATGGCGTAATTGGGATTGATATCAGTGAATATCCACCAACTCAGACTAGAAAATATTTTTGTATATAATATAATTCTTTAGACACACGTGGTATATGTAAAAATCAATCGATATATTAAAAGCAAATTAATATACTTCTTTAGTTAGTAATTTGCTTCTTTAGTTGTAACGTTTTTCTACTTTTTTTTTTTAATTAAAGCATCTTTTTTTTGTGATTCTTAATGATAATGTCGATGTCGTTATATCGTAGCGTAGATTGTATACGTGTATAAAAGAGATACGCAACAATAATGTAACAATACTGATACTGTTGTTAAGAATTAAAGAATAAGGGCTTTTTTTTAAATGTGGCAACAAATATTCATCTTGCTGTCAAGATCTTACTATGACAAAATAATGATCAAATTTTCTAAATTATAATAGTCAAATTTTTAATTATAGAACACTGTTACATTTTAACGCAATCTTATTTGGATTCGCTCTCGAACTTTTTGTTCCAATTTCATTACTACGTTGAATATATCACTCTCTTAAATTACTTCATCTACTTGGAATAGTAGCTAACTGGAATAGTAACTAACAATATAGTGGATCAATAGCGTTTCGGTAATAATAATGATTAAATTAGCTGATGTCAAATTTTATTAAAGAAAATTTAAAAGCAGTTTCTTAAGTGACGTCTTTTCGATACTCTTTCAAAGTGCGGACTTGTTTGACCTTCCGGCCGACCTTCCCAGTTCAAGATAGTGAAGCTGTTGACTGTAGATAGTCGATCATAGAAGAGAGGAGAGATTAGTCGAGTTAGAAATAAATATTATGTCGAGAGAGAGAGAGAGAGAGAGAGAGAGAGAGAGAGAGAGAGAGAGAGAGAGAGAGAGAGAGAGCACTTTGCTGCAGTAGTCTCCGGTTACTCCTTAGCAGACTATTGTTTTTCTCTTTTTATTTTGAACTTTTTTTTACAGAAAAAATGCGAAGAGATTGATGAAACATTTCAAATTGATTTTTTTCTTTTTAAATGCTATTCATAATAGTTTGCGAAACGTTTCCTGTTTATAACTATTCTGTTTATAATTATCTCGATTCTGTCTAATTATTATTTTGATTGATATAGCATCATCTATTTACGCTTTTATTGTTATTATAGATAAATTCTTAGAATAGCTGATCAAATAAGCTATTCAATAGTGGAACAAATGAAATCAGATCATGGTATTTTAATAAAATAATAGAAATATGTTAAATATGTATAGACAGGATTGCTGCAAAACTGAAATCAGGAAAGTCAAAAAAATTGAAAACATTCAGGAAAAACAGAGAAAAATCAAAGAATTTTATATTATAAAGTTATATTATAAAGTTTTCTATAAAATTAAAATCCTTGGCTTTAAGAAATTTCATATATATACATCACACCTACGCAATTTTAGAATATTATCAACTTAACAATTACATGCAAGTAATGTCAGCAACATTAGTATCTAATAATTTATATTGCCATGTTAAATTGATCTGTAAACAAAAATTCGACGGTTTCCAAATCAAGATGAAAATACAAAAAAAAAATTTTAATATTATTGAAATCAGGAAAAAATTAAGATAGGATGAAGAATTTGAGCCAATTCTGATGAATAAAAAAAATGAGAGACTGAAAGAGATGAGCAATCTAAGCGATAATGATTTCGTGGTTTTTAGTAAAAGTGAACTAAGAAATTAATATTAATCGAACGAATTAAAGAATTGATGAATTGAATGACACACCGGCATTTTCCATTATACGACTGCGTTTCGCTTGGTCTTGTGGAAAATGCCAGCGTTTCGCAACCATATACGACGACATCGGATAGTGATGTTTATCCACCGTCGCGTCGTCGCCGATGGCGTCGTGGGGGCATCGCGGAGAGAGGATGCACCCTAAACCACTGCGACGCCAACGAGATACGACGCGACGCGTCGCGTCGCGACCCGACCCGACCCGACGCGACGAACGTTACGCGTTCGCTATGCGAGTCGCTATGTAAACCCCGCAGATCAAGCGGCACCGGGGCTTCCCCCGGTAACGCTAAACTCGCGCTCGCGAGCGGGGAAGCAATGACCTGATTTGCAATTTATTACGTTTGGGCGTCGTCCAAGTACGGCGCATTGGCGCCGCTGTCAAATCGGCGCGGCTGCCGATCGACGTGCACAGCACTGCGAACGTTCCCATGTAAAAAAAA